GCACAGGTACCGTACCTATTTACCTGTTCTAAATACAGCACAGGTACCGTACCTATTTACCTGTTCTAAATACTGCACAGGTACCATACCTATTTACCTGTTCCAAACATTGTTTATGTGCCTCGGACATATTGTCTCCAAACAAACATGACTTTTAATTCTTTACCCTTGTTTTATTTTATGTAAACGTTGACCAGGGAAATCTGTTAATGTTTACGTTTTCTCTCCTGTATTTGATTAAAATGTTGAACAAAACATATGTTTATTTGCCTCCTACACATGATACTAACGTAGACCAAGGATGTATCATATAAAATCTCCATTATTGTGTTTAATGTGCTGCCTCATGTCATGACGATTGTCAGTTCTATCGTCTTATAGACTTGATCATCGTTAACACTGGGCCTAAGGTGACAGTCACCATGCTATCGTTTTCTCCATTCGTTGAATCAAAAGAAGAATACCGATGGGTGTTCTTACCAACGAAATACACAACCGGGGCTCACTTGAGATATTTAAAGAACATTCTGACGTCACCTTTATGCTTTCATTTTTATACGACCGTCAAAATTGACGGTAGTATTATAGTATGGCGTTCTCCGTCCGTCCGTCCGTCCGTCCGTCTGGCGTAAACTTTGTTTGTCCGGCAATCTCCTCCTACATTTTTCAACCGATCTATTTGAAACTTTGTATACATTATAACCATGTTATGAAGTTGTGTCTTCCTTAAAAGAATTTCGATTCCACTTTTTTTTCAAAAGTTATTGCACTTTGTTCATTTCAGTATTTGAATTTTGTCCGAAGTTTTTCTCCTACATTTTTTATAGCATATCAGCTAACCACTCTTAGAATGATGCAGATCTTATTTCAATGTATGAAAGAATATAACTCAATATGGCATTCGACGGGCGTATTTTGTTCCGGCTCGCGGTACTCTTGTTTATTTTATTTTGCAATGTCAGTACCCAAAACGGATCACGGCTTCAATTTTGCAATATTTTGCGCTTCAAATGAATATTTCTCGGTCACCATTTTATTATTTTATGATGGTCTTTGGAATATGAATGAAAAAAAGTATTTCCATACTCTGAATTATTCCAACAGTCCGAAATAAAATGCATAGTCGTCGTACACGCCATTTTTAACAACGTAAACACAAATCTAGATTTTAGGTTAAAATACGTCTTCTGATGCTACTTGTCTTCTGATGCCACTTGTCTTCTGATGCTACTTGTCTTCTGATGCTATTTGTCTTCTAATGACACTTGTCTTCTGATGCTACTTGTCTTCTGATGCCACTTGTCTTCTGATGCTATTTGTCTTCTGATGCTGCTTGTCTTCTGATGCTACTTGTCTTCTGAAGCTACTTGTCTTCTTTGTCTTCTGATGCCACTTGTCTTCTTTGTCTTCTGATGCTACTTGTCTTCTGATGCTACTTGTCTTCTGATGCTACTTGTCTTATGATGCCACTTGTCTTCTGATGCTACTTGCCTTCTGATGCTACTTGTCTTCTGATGCACTTGTCTTCTGATGCTACTTGTCTTCTGATGCCACTTGTCTTCTGATGCTACTTGAACTTAAAAAATATTTAAGTGATCCGATTTGGGTCCTGCCTCCTTATGTACAATGAACATCTTATGACTAGTTTCTATATATGAGAGATAGTGTTAAGTCCACTTATTGATTCGTAACTCTGTATACTTGTGTATTTGTTGACATCAGATATCAACGAGTGTTACATTGGAGACCACGAGTGTGAAGATCAATGTGAGAACACATGGGGAGCCTACATCTGCGGGTGCTCAAAGCCGGGTACACGACTAACAACCGACGGACATACATGTATAGGTAAGTAGGCTCTGTTCATGACCGGTATCCTTGCGAATTGGGGCTAAAGGACATTTATTAACAGGTGCGTGTGGAAACATTTATAAAAATTGATAGTTGCGACGTAAGGACATTAATTATACGAAGAACGCGGAGAAATCTTTGTACTCCAAGTCAGAATCATATGTTCAGTCTCAATGGAACTAACGAATTAAAGTCAATACTTTGCATAAGAAGTGTTTTCTTTATTTAAACAAATAGTAGAATGTGTCGATTGCTGAGAAGTTGTGCGGACGAACTAACCCTCGAGTGCAGTAGAATTTAGAATTCCCTATATTTTGTCCCTGCAAGTTACATTTCTGGTTTCTCGGGAAACTGTCACCACAACCAATCCGAACCAAGATGATATGGTTGGTTTCCTGTTAAAGGAATCATGCAGTAGGCAAACTATACGTCAAAACACAGGCTGTTCCGAGATGCGTTTAAACATATGACACCAAATAAGGTCCATGTTCATACCTCACGGACGAGTCCTAGAAGGAGAAACAGCTGTATGATGCAGTATAATTAATTTTTGGTATACTGTATCTATTACCAAGGTTTAGGTGAATCATATGTGTATAGTATACAGTGTAGATACATAGGACGGTGTGTGCATGACGTCTGCCCTGAAGAGCCAAAACTTCAGTCGTAAAAGGTGGGTTTTATATCTTTCTTAAATTTAGCCGTATGAGAGTGCTTATCTTATGGGTAAGCGATATGTTGTATCATTTGTATCTTACTTTTTATTGTAACACTGTGGTGGTCGATTTACATAGTTACAATTTTATATGAAGATTTTATAAATCATAGTTATTTTATAGAAATTTGTGTAGTTGATATATATTTCCACTCTTCTTATGTGTTAATGGTCAAACACGAATTTACCTTCAAAGTATCCGAAAATATACCCGCTCAGATCCGCAACACTATATGATATCTGTCTTCAGATGACGATATCCCTACTTGTTAACACTGTATGACATTATAAATGTAATCATTGGTTTTTACCAGCACTAACACCCACATGTCCAGATGAAATCCGTGTCGAGGTCCCGGATGGTGTCCCCTTGGTTCAGGTGGCTCTCCCTTCGCTTGTGTATAGCGGACAGTGGCGCATTGAACCTGCATGGGTGGCGGAAAATCAGGGCGTTCTCTTCCCAGTAGGCAACAGTAGCATCCAGGTCAACAGCTACAACACAGAGGCGGGAGATGTTGGGTGTAGCTTCTATGTTGTCGTGACAGGTTAGTGAAGCCCCTCTGTGGCTTTATAGCATCTGCACTCAACACATTATATTACCAAATGGTATGTAATTTGTATCTGATTTGTATGAAAATTTTACACAAGTGTATGAGTTAACACAATCTCATTAAAATCAGATGTTAATAAAAAAAAAAAAAAAAGCTATCATGCGGTACGTACGGAGCCCCCGAAGGGACATGGTAAAACATTTACTAAACCGTGCGCACGGATTACCAAACCGTGCATACGGATTGACAAACCGTGCGCACGGATTACTAAACCGTGCGCACGGATTACCAAACCGTGCACACGGATTATTAAACCGTGCGCACGGATTACCAAACCGTGCACACGGATTGACAAACCGTGCACACGGATTGACAAACCGTGCACACGGATT